CGTTTAGACAAGCCTTAATGTTAATAGAGAACCTGTTCCTCGAGTTTAGTCTTATCTCTAGTACTTAAATTTTTCATGAGGGAGCTCTGTGCTAAGGTGACAACTCATTCCTGAGAAAAATTTACTATGGCTGAGAACGAAACATCAAATTAGTTTTTGTTTTTAAATTCTGTAACAGAAACTTGAAAAGACAGCTGAAATATTCACTAGTCCCATGTTCAAATGATGGCAGTAACATGATAGTCTAGGTCAGTGATGGCGAACCATCGAGAATTTTCAGTGATAACCTGCCGTATACATTGAGTTCACCATCCCTGGCTCTCTCCTTCGTCCTAAACACAGTTTGCTTGCAAAATAGGCATGTTTTGGCTGCACTCTTTGTATGTGCCCTTCCATTTACTGACTAAAGAACAAATGGGAAAGCTGAGCAGGGTGGCACACATCTGTAATCCCAGAAGGATCACCTGAGTTGGAGGCTGGCCTGGGCTACATAGCAGATTCATAGCCAGCCTGAACTACCTAGTGAGACCCTGCCCAGTGCTGAATTTTCAGGGCAAAATAGCATGTGGTCACTGGTTTTTCCTTCTCTTTCTTTAATACATAAAATTCTGTATATAGCTAGTGTTTTGTTTTTAGAATTAACATTTCTAACTAAGCATGTTAGTGTATGCTTGTGATCCATGTACTTTGGGAGGGTAAGGCAGGAGGATTGAAAGTTGGAGTCCCATTTGGGCAACTGTGAGATCCTGTCTCAAAATAAATGGCTGAGGATGTAGTTCATTGAGAAGGCTCTTGGTTCAGTTCCCAATACCACATATACAAAAGTGTAATGCTTCTACTGGTTCTTTCTGAGTTACAGGCTGATGGATAGGTTTTCTACAGGAAGCACATATTGCTTAAAAATCTTTTTAAAAGAGAAAACAGTGTTCAAATAGGGACAAGACTTGTACTGTACATTTTAACTAAACAGTGGGATACAGACTGAAAGTAGTAGCATGATCTCAATTTGTCAAAAACCTAGGAATCTTTTGTCAGTCTTTTAACACTCAGACCATTGCATTCCTGTTGTCCATTCTGTTTCTTGGTCTACCTTTCCCGTCTTCCCCACTGCTGCCACTGTAGTTCACACTTGGAATAGAATAGTCAAGTCACTCTGAAATTCGCTAAATAAATGAGTTTTTATATGTATGTATGTATGAAGTATCTTCCAGCCTACCCTAGCTTTAATCTTGCCTTTCATGTTCATCTGTCATGTTTCACAGTGATTTCACTGGAATGTGAATCTGTTCTGACTTACTGGGAATCCTTTGAGAATTCCATGATCTTTGGGATGGCAAGCAAAGCCATCTCTAATCTGGCTTTTGCTTCCCCCTGCCCTATCAAAAATCTAAGTTGCTAATCTAGTTGCTCTTTTCTTTTGCTACTACCCATTATAACTTTCAGTTTCCCCAGACTACCTTGTCTCTCATACCTCCATTCCTGTGTGTGCTATTTATTGTCTCTTCAGGGAGTCCCTGTTTCCCCTGTGAATGTATGCTTCAGTTCAGTGCATTTCCTCTATGAAGGTTTCTCTGATCCTGTCCCAAGGAGTGTATTGTTCTTTATAGTCTCATGTTCCTTGTACCCCACTCTATTATAGCACTTACTTCAGTTTGTTACAGTTATTTAGAATCTCCTCATCCTGCTGAATGTGAGGCCCTGAAGGGCAGAGTGTGTAATTTGTATGATCTTCCTAAAGTGAAAAGATTCAGTTTATTCCTGAATGCATAGTGCCTGTGTTAGTGCCTAGAACATGCTAGAGTTTTGTCTTTGTTTTCGAGACAGGCTGTCCCTATGTAGTTCATATTGGCCTTGAACTCACAGTGATTCTCCTGCCTCAGCCTCCCACATGCTGGGATTACAAGCCTGCGCCACCAAGCCCGACAGTAAATGCTAAAGTAACTCGAATTGATTAGGTCTTTCTCTTTGGTATAAGTATGAATCTGTAGAATAGCTGCTAAATTTAGATTCTAAAGAGAAGAAGAAAGATTAGAGATGTATTTTCTTGTCAAAGGTTAAAGAACATGAAATGGCTAGTGATTTATACCCAAGAATAATCATCTCTATTCTAGAAATAATACCAAGAAAATAATTGGAATACCTTTTTCTCTTTGGTCTTATCAGGCACAGTTATTGTGAAAGACTAGCAATCTCAGGTGAAACATACCCTGCTACTCTAGTCTCTCTACTGCAGATAAAACCTCTTCTCAAAAAAAGTGTTAAATTAGTTGGGCATAGTGGTGCACACTTGTAATCCCCATGTTGTGGGAGGCTGAGGCAGGAGGATTATGTGTTCAAGCCGAGCCTAGGCAATTTAACAAGACTCTTATCTCAAAATGTAAAAAAAAAGCAAAAAAAAAGCCCTGTGTCAAGACTGGCAATCACCTAGAACCAGGAAAAAAAAATGGTGTTAAATTATATTGGTTAAATGGAAAATGCTGTTTTTCTAATTTAACTGCATTTCCTGATACATAATTTTCGGGGGAAACCCCTGAAACCTCTGTTCAGAACAGAGAACTTTGCAATAGTTTTCTAAGCAGTTCAACAGTACTATTAACAGAATGGCATTTCAGGTAGATTCTGGCTTCTTACTTTAAAAGAGAAATTATCCTATAAATATATGAATGGCAGTACATAAATGCTTAACCACGTAAAGGAATTCTCCTAGGGAGTAAAGAAGTATTCATCCCAGAACAACAGTAGTAAAAATGTGTCTCTGTAGAGAAAATTATTTAGCTTCAGTTGTGAAGGGTTTACAATCAGCAGTCGATTAGGTTAATATATTTTTATAAACTTGAGTCCATTAAGGCGCTGACTGCTCAAACTACTGGCAACAGCAAGAGCAAGTTTGTATTCTTTGGGAAGATGTAGCACTGAGTCACTTCTGAGATTTGCAACAATGTGTTGAGTTACTCTGTTGTTACATGCCAACAAATTTCTTGTGCAGAGTTGTACTTGGTACTATATAAACAACTGATAGCACTATCACACTGCATTTAATTCTCGAGGCACGATTAAGTTGGTCATCCATTTGTAACAGCTCAGTTTATCACTGGAAGCAAATTCTTACTGCCCACAGTTGTAGGTCATGTTCCACGCCTTTCTGAGGCGCTGGGATGGAGAGCCTGGCCTACATTAGGCAAGCACTCTCGCCCCCAGCCACAGCATGAGCCCCCTTTTCTCTACCTGGTAAACCTGCTTATTTTAAAATAAGTTTTCCAACTGGAAGCATATTAAAATGCTACATTTTAGCAGTTCTTCAGCCAGTTTGAGCACAATTATCTTTAGGAAAATGTATTAAAATATACATTCCCAGAGTCTTTACCCACAAATCCAAAAAGTATCATTATTCAGAATTTTCTTAGGATGTCAAAATCCCTGAAGAACCATTTGCCGAACTATTCATTGTGATCCAGGAATGTACATTTTTAACAAACTCTTGTTCGAAAGTACTGTGTATACAGATACTACCTTGATAAATACTTATATATAAGGAATGGAACACGTTGTGTAAAGCAACAGTGCAAAACTTTTTTTCTTTTTCCTTTTTTGAAGTACATTGATGTGTGAGACTGTCCAGTCTCAGAATGGAGGGATTATTGTCATCACCACCTTTCAGGCTGACTGTGATAATAAAATGTCTGGGAACAGGACTCCCTCAGTTCTATGTCACACCCGGGCATCTGCCATAGACTTCAGGGCAGATGAGAGGATATTTGCTGTGTGTTGCCATGAACAGTTACAGCCTGCTAGCTAGGTTCATCTCACAGTATTGAGGACCCAGATGTGTCCAGGGATGTGTGGCAGTTGTTAGAGCTTTAACACCAATTTCTAATCCTGGTATAATGGTTTGTTGGTTGGTTTGGGGCTTTTTGCTGTTGTTTTTGGTTTTTTCTTTTTGTGACAGGGTCTCACTGTGCAGTTCAGTCTGGCCTTGAGTTCACTATGTAACCCAGGCTGGGTACTCAAAATTTGCAACAATCCTCCTGCCTCAGCTTCCTGAGTGCTGGGATTATAGGCATGCCACACAAAACGTTTTTAAAAATTGAATTCCAGCCGGGCATGGTGTTGCATGCTTGTAATCCCTGCACTCAGAAGGCTGAGGCATAAGGATTGCCACGAGTTCTTGGACAGCCTGAGCTGCATAGTGAGACCCTGTCTCAAAAAGAAAAAAACAACAAAAAAGGAGTAGGAAAGAGAGCCTAAGAAATTCGAGGTGTTTTGTTTTTGTTCTTGCCAAGAGGATAGGGCTCCATTGCTCAAATTCACATTAAAAAATCATTCTTAATGACAGGAAAAATCTCATCATAAAATTCCACATGTTGTAGTGTGTGCGTCGTGCAATTTTGTGAATGTAATTGGATATACCCGAGTGGTTAACCTCCTTAGAGATAGTGTACTGGTTGAGGAGGTTGGTTTTGGTGGTGGTTCTTGATTGGTTAATGTGCCTTCAGCCTAAGAAGTATGGACTTACCTGTTGAAGACTAAATTACTTCACCCCCTCTATTTGAATTCCCCAACTTAGACTGGTAAATAAGCATTCTTTCCCCAGTCTGGTAATAATCATTGATTTGTGAATGTTCGTGACTCTTTTCTGAGAACAAGGACAGGTACTTTTAGTCTGAACTTCCACCATGGTCGGTACATTATTTAGAAAACCAAACACTCTGCAATTTTTTTCCCCCCTAGATCAAAGTTTAACTTCAAAGGAGCTTTCCCTGCCCATACTGCTGGTTGATTACCTGGTCTGTGTTTTACTGAGTAGTAGGTAGGGACAGCAGGAAGGAATCTCACTCATTCACTGGTGGGCTTTGCTATTTAGATGGTAAGGCATTTGGCTATCTTGAAAGTGAAAGTTATTCCCTGTGTTATCTTCATTTCACCCAGCCTGACCTCATTTTTTGTTATCATTTGATGGCTTCTTCACATTGACGTTCATAGCGCAAAGCAGGAATCATGTACTAGTTTTATTACTTTATTCAAGTTAAAGTATAAAGATGTTCCAAGTTATAAAATAGTTTCCAGTTGTTAGCCATGGGCTTCTTTCACTTGAAAGGCAAAAGAAAATATAATAGCATTTCAGCATATATGTTTGTAATAAAGAATTGTGGAGTGCAAATAGGAGAGATTCTAAGATGCCTGTAAGTCTCTCTGCCTAATAAATTCATGATTGGAAAGGAAAAATGAGGTGTGGATTTTAATCCTTCCAACATTCCATTTGTGTTAACATTCTTCCTGTTCAAAGCAGCAGCACAGGGATAACTTATGAGTGGTGCAGTTATAAATAGTGTATTATATAAGCACCCAAGGGCAGAGATAAGGATAGAGTTAAGAGTGTTAAAGAGAATAGGTTCTATTGTTTGTTTTTGTTTTAGCTTTAATATGGTATTGGGAGCTGGGCATGGTGGAACATGTCTGTGATCCCAGCACTTGGGGAGGCTGAGGCAGGAGGATCAAGTCCAGCCTGGGCTACTGGCAAGACCCTGTCTCAAGCAAGCAAATGAGAAAATCCCTCAGAAACCTTGTCTGTCTTAGAGAGAACAAATGTATCTGTGGGCTCTCACAAATGTCAGTCTGGCTCTACATTCAGATGAGTTTAACAAACACCAGTGGAGACTGATGAAATTTAAGATTAACCTAAAACCCACCTGCGATGTTCAGCTTTAGTTAACTCCTCTCCTTGCCACTGTTTAAAGTGTTGTAGTGGCATGGGAGCAGTTTCTTGCATCTCCGATCAGCTCTTTTTTCCTCTGGGCTCCTAAAGCTGAATACAGTGTCCTAAATTGACTTTTGTCCCACAAAACATGCTTAAACGAAGCCTTGGGTACGTATGTATGTAGCAGACAGTATAGATTTTTTGGATTTGTAGCTTTCTCCTTATGGAAGCTAATCAACTAAACAAAAACCTGTGAGAAGGGGAAGTAGTGGTGCACCTCTGTAATCCCAGCACTTGAGCGGCTGAGGAAGGAGGATTGTTGTGAGTTCAAGGCCAGTCTGGACTACATAGGAAGACCTTGTCTCAAACAAAACAAAAACAAAAAGCTCTGTTTGAGAAACAGTTTTTTTCAAGTGTTACTTTGAATTCTATATGAATTCTTCGTCTATTCATTAGTACAGGTTTGCAGTTCACAGTCATTTTGAGTGGTTACATGTACGTACCCCATCCTCTTCTTTAATCCTCTCTGCTCCCTCCTTCCCTCCTCCAGTTCCCCTGGGTACTTTCTGTTCTTGTTGTTATTAACCTTAGCTCATGCTGTGGAATGTTTACATTCATTGAGGCTGTTGGGTTCTTGGACATGCACATCTTCATTCTACTTACTTCCCCTTCGCGGCTGCCTCTGACTTTTCCCTTGGACCCTTTTCTCTACAGCTACTAGAATTACAGTGCCGAGTTTTAGGAGTTATTGAAATACTATAAGGGATGTCGTGTAGGTAATTTCAGGACTTGTATATGGTTGCTGTGCACATGCTGTAATAAATTTAAATCTTTCAGTTCCTTTTCTTTTGTTTTTTTTTCCCTAAAACCATTGAGTTTCTCTTCCCACTTGGATATAGTGTATGTTTTAATATTTGCGGTGTTAATTGGCCATACAAAAGCGCTCAGTGATAATCTGAGGTCCAGAAAGCATTACCGAGAAGACTGAGTTCAGTACCCAGTAAGCACACATATGCGTGAAGTTGAGCTTTGTTGGCCCTTTTTCTGTTAAGGATTAGAGCATGAATAAGCGAACTATGGCAAGCACACCCTGTGTTTTATAACCTAGGAGATGTTTTTAAAGGATGGGGGGGCGGGATATGCAACTGAGATTGTATCCTAGAGAGCCTAAGATATTTCCTCAGTGGCCCTATACAGAAAAGGGTTGGAATTCGTAGCAAGAGCAATTAAAGGAAATACAGAGAAGAGGGACGCTAGCCTAGCCAGGAGTCAGACTACAAATGCTCAGAACTGGTTAGTGACTAGGCCCGTAATTGTATACACCATGTCCCAGCCAGTAAGTAGAGTAATACACCATCATTAAAATGCATTTAGGGCTGAGGGTGTAGCTCAGTTGTAGAATGCTTGCTTAGCATGCACAGTACCCTGGGTTTGACCTCCAACACTGCAAAGAATTATAAATATATATTAACATGTAAAAATGGTTTGGGAGAGCTGGGCATGGTGGCTCATGCCTGTAGTCCCAGCATTTATGGGAGGCTGAGGCAGGAGGATTGCTGCAAGTTCGAGGCCAGCGTGAATTGCAGAAGGAGACCTGATCTTGAAAATACACCCCCCTGCCATAAATAAATAAATAGATGATAGATAGATGGATGGATAGATAGATACATACATACATACATACAAAGGGAGGGAAGTGACTGGGTTAAGTAAATTATGGATTCAGTTCTATATCATACTCAATATTCAGAGAATAATTGGATAAGTGACAATAGATTATTTGCCTTTTCACTGGGAAGGGTTAATCTTCCCATGTGGCATGACAAAGCTAAAAGTTTTAATGCAGTGGAATCACCAATTACTACAAATGCTTTTTATTACTTGACAGACTAATTGGATATCATCATAGTACAGATTTTCTTGTACGATGGTGGACTCTTCAGTGAGGTGTAGATATAAGCATTTTATAAAACAATTACCAAAGCTATATTGAATTTAAAAATCGGTCATAAGTGTTTGTACATCCCAAAGGCAGCTGCCCTCTTTGGGCCAACTTTTATCTGACACCTGTACCAAAAATTTAAGGGATGTGTTTAATCACATTCCCCAAAAGGAAAATTTACTTCATGAGACACTAATGATAATGTTATTTTACTGAAGAACAGGGTGCTTCCATTGTAGGAATACCCTTCTTTAAAGAGCAGAGACAAAAGTTGATTACAGAAAGGAGGTACACCTAACTGCTCCACACATAATAACCTAGAGACCTTTTTTATTGTTTTATTTTGGTTTGGTTTTTGTTTTTGAGACAAGGTCTTGCTATGTAGTTCAGGCTGGCCTTTGAAATCACTGCGTATCCCCAGGCTGGCCCTCAAACTCACTATGGTATGCACCATCTGGCCTAGTTAAATTCCTCTTTTTTAAAAGAAGTGTTTCAGTTGCTAGTACCTTTTATTCAAGTCTCGCTCATGCAAACAGCTTAGCATTTGAGGACAGTACACAAACACAGTGAGTTTGTTCTTCTGCGTGCATAGGAAGGAAGGAGGATCAGATTCTCTGTTCTATCTTGTGGCGGTGATTTGCAAGGGCCCCCTGAGTGCAGGGCCCATAGGTGTCAGTCTATCGGGAGAGCATCTCGCTGGATTTAGCTGGCTGACTGGACCAGGTATTGGATAGGCTGTGGCTGGGTGCAGGGTCTTTCCCTGTATTCTGGTGCCCATCCTGCCAGGAAGTATGAGGCTGTTTACCAGCTCTAGCACTTTTCTCCACCTAGGCTCTTAGTCAACATTAACCAAGGTCATAGAGAATTGTACATTTTAATCATGAATAGGTGGAGAAGAACTTAAGCTGGTTTAATTATTAACTTGGAAGGGCAAGGGATTTAGCTCAGCGGCATAGTGCCTGCCCGGCAAGCGTGAGGTTATGAGTTCAATTCCCTGTACAAAAAAAATTTTTTAACTTGGAATACATTATTTTAGAGTCGGAATGCCTTAATAATTAATGTGAAACAGATTTTTCTATGAAACAACCACAGTTTTCCTTCCAGCACATCATTTGCCTGTCGTCTTTGTTTATAATACAGTAAAACTTAGAGGATTTGTAGTTTGCAAATTGTTCACTCTGGGAGCTGTCATACCTCTGTAGATCCCTTCCAGCTGATTCTACAAAATTGAAAGGTTACCTGGAACCAGCCGAACAAATGATTCCAAGAAAGCTTTATGTGGTTACCTCAAGGCCAGTGGATCCTCGACAACTTGCATCAGAATTAACTGATTAAAGTTGACAAACCCACTAGGCCAGGTGCCTTTTGGCACACTCCTATAATCCCAGCACTTGGGAGGCTGAGGCAGGAGGATTGTTGGGAGTTTGAGACCAGCCTCAGCTACAAAGGGAGCTCAAGGCCAGCCTGAACTGCATAGTGAGACCCTGTCTCAAAAAGACAAAAAAAAAAAAGTTGACAAACCTACTAACTTGGGCCTGTATTTTGTAAGGATCACTGAATCAAAGTTTTCTCTTTGTTGACATACTGAAATCGCAGTAAAGACCTTGTCTCCTCTTTGTGTGTGTGTGTGTGTGTGTGTGTGTGAGTGTGTGTGTGTGTGTGTGTGAGAGAGAGAGAGAGATAGGGTCTCACTATGCAGTTCAGGCTGGCCTTGAATTCACAGTGATCCTCCTGGCTCAGCCTCCCAAGTGCTAGGATAGCAGGTATGCACCACCATGCCCAGTTTCCATTTTTTAAATAAAGAGAAATGGTACTGTAATATTAAGCTTCTTATTTATAGCTAGTTTTATGAAGCAAATCAGCATTTAACAAGACTTTCAGGAATATAGATATAGTGATAGGAAAAAATGAAAGAAGAGGAGCAAACTTAGGAGCAGTTAATTTTTAGTTATGTATTTATCGTGGGAGGTCAGGGTTAGGGCCATTTTGAACTACTGCACACAGAATTGCATCACAGCTGAGAATTGATAGTCCCTCTCTCTGATCCTGTTGAATAGGAAAACTACATTAAAGACATTTGTATTCTAAAAATGATGAGAGGATTGAGAATACTAGGAAAATAATACTTTGAAAGATTGCTTTTAGGGATAGTTCACCTGGTTTAATGAGTTGAATAATAGATTAATAAAATTCCTACTTAAAAAGAAGGTATTTAGTCAGGCATGGTGGTACAAATTGTAATCCCAGCCCAGGGGAGGCTGAGGCAGAAGGATTGCCACTGGAATATATAGCAAGACGCTTTCAAAAAAATAAATGCTGGGCATGTTGGCACACACCTGTAATCCTGGCACTTAGGAGGTTTAGGCAGGAGGATCAGTGCAATTTTGAGGTCAGCCTGAACTACACAGACCCTGCCTCAAAAAAATTTAAAACATTAAAAATAAATTGAAGAGCCAGGTGTGGTGGCTGAGGCAGGAGGATCATTTGGAGTTCGAGCCCAGCCTGGGCTACAAAGTGAGCTCAAGGCCAGCCTGAACTGGGTAGTGAGACCCTGTCTCAAAAAGACCCAAAAATAAATAAATAAATAAAATAAATGGAAGGGACAGTATCTAGCTGCTTAATGAAGCTCACTGTAAACCTGTACTCTACCCAGATTTGTTGGTGGGCTGGCTTGCTTGCTTGCTTTTTTTAATGCTTAGGGCTGGGATAAAGCACAGCAGTACAGCACTTTGCTGTGTCAGGCATTGATGCCCTGCATTCAGTCCCCAGCATTACCACCCTCGCCTTGAAAAAAAGTTTGAACAACTTACAGTTGCATCCTGTGAACCCATCCATAACTGGAAAAATCATCCTTTTTGGGGGGTGGGAATGATCTTAAAAAAGAATGGAAATGAGGAGAATCCAGGATGTGTTCAAGTGTAGTCATTCTTACTGGCAGAGACAAGAAGCTTCCTTGGTTCCCAGAAAATAACCTTCATGACCTTTACATGAGTGAGTTCCCAGCTGCTTCCATTGCCCCCCCATGGGCAGGGATTCTTGACGGCCTTTGAAGCCTGAGGCTCCCTTGAGAACGGAACGTTTGGGGATTGTTACGTAATGAGTGCTGTGGGTACACTCGGTTAGGAGTCCCTGGTAAGCTGTTGAAGCTTCTGAGACAGGGTGGACGTGTAGTGAAGCTTGGAAGTAATGGTATTCCTGCCCCTTGTTTAAGAGGAATGTTACTTCAGCTTCCAGCTGGGATGACCTCTTTCCTCAGTTATCTTGGAGAACTGCTGAACTAAAGTGGCCAGAGGTGGAAAGCCACAGGGAGGGACGTTTCCGTAGTGAGAAACAGCAGGCAGCCCCTTTGAACCCAGCTGGTGTGCAGGGTGCCCTGAAGGACCACCCCAAGCCGGGCGGCTCTGCCCTGGGGGAACCGGTGGGGCTTGCACTTGGTGGATGCGGTTTTGTACCCCTGAACGCTTTCAAGCTGACCAGACTTTTGCTCCCTCCAGAAGAGCGAGATATGTGCTGGAGGCCTGGTGCAGTCTAGGGGACAGTGGCCGTGCCGGAAGAGGTTGGCAGTCAGTGGGCCGAGCCCTGTAAATCTTGACCCAGGTCTCCTGAGGCCGGAAGCGCCTTGTGCGGAACCCCCAGGCCAGAATTAAACTGATCAGATCCAGTCGGTGGGGGTCCGAGGGCTGCGCCCACCTGGCCCCAGGACTAGCCTTCTCTGTGTTCAGGTTCTTACCGCCCTTTCATCTTAATCCTTTCCGCGTCCTGTTTGCTCCCGAAAAGCAATTCAGTGCCACTGCAACTTCCTGCCCTGAAACAGTGGGTCTGCGGGGAGCCGGCGCAGCTGCTATTCCCGAAACTGCTGCAGGTGGGCAGTCTGTGCATTGTCTTGTTCACTGGCAGGAAGTGACCATGTAATTTTCAAGGTGCTCCGTTAGCAGGCAAGAGCAATAAAAGCCCTGTTGTAAGATTGGCCTGCATTTGATTCCAACTCCTCACCACTCCTAGCAGATTAACAAATTTCGAACCTCTGTCTTCTCATCTGTTAAATCAGGTTGATTGGTCAGATGACATAATGCAGCCCGGCTGGTGGCACTTGTCTATAATGCCAGCAATTTCGCAACTCAGACTGCCTCCAAATTGTGAAAAATATTAAAAATGTAAATGTCGAGGGGGCGTATAGCTAAGTGCGGAGGCCCTGAGTTCAGGTCCCAGCACTCGGCAGGGGGTGCAGCTAATGCCTGCAAAATCTTCAGAATTCACTGCACCAGCCTACAACAGTCTCTGACTGGGAGGCTGAAGTATGGGGACTGGGCCCCTAGCCCAGTGGTGGAGCCAGGCTTAGCTGCAGGACGCCCTGGGTTTAACCCAAGGAACAGAAAAGAGAGGGAAAGCGATGGGGATTTACCCAGCACCTTTGCTTAAGGTTCCTAGATGGGTTAGGTATGGAAAGTACCTGGAAAGTTCTGAGTCTCCACACCCCTGGGAGAGAACTAGGAATGGCCTCTTGTCTGTAATCAGAGAGCGGGTATTTAACACATCTTCAGGGTACAGCACTTGGCATCTGCCAAACAGCCTTTCAGGCTGGTAGTTTCTAAGGACATTTCCCCTTTTATCCCGATTGTCTCACTTTACAGGGCTTTGTGCTCAAATGTACTTGGGTGAGAGACAAGCCAACTTTTGGTAGTGTTGTTTTTATTTCACAGCAAAAGAAATAGAGGTAGACTAACCTCTTTCTGAGTGCATTTTGCAAGGCAGCAGATTGTGATACTTCCCAGCTAGGAGTTTTTTGTTATTAGGGTTTTTTTATTTGTTTGTTTCTTTCGTACCAAGAATCAAACTCAGGACCTTGCATTTGCCAGGCAGGCGCTGTGCCACTGAGCAGTATCTCCAGCTCCTGTTATCAGTGTTTTTAAAGTTGCACTAATGACTGTAGTAACTGCCAGTGCTTGTGATAATTCATATGGCAATAATGCATTAAACATACAAAAGAAATTGCCTTCTGCAAATAAAAAACTGGCACATTTCAAACTTGTGATTCATTGATGATCCACTGAGTCTTGAGATACTGAAGAATAATTAGAACGTTTCCCTTCTGGGCTGTGTTGTTAATTTGGTTTCCACAATTCATATTGTGGAGTAAAATTACCAGATTCCCACAGCAGTACAAGAGCTTGAGATTCCTTGTACTTTTAGAGTATTTAACACTCATCTTTCTGAGATTGACATGGGAAAGTGTATATATAAAGTTTAAAATATAATCTCAATACAATCTGTGATGAAAGAAATTAGAAGAGCACTTTGGTTAAGTTTTACTTACTTTCCCAGTGGGGGAATTGAACCCAGAGGCACTCTACCCCTGAGCTACATTCCAAGCCCTTTTTATTTTTTTATTCTGACAAAGGGTGTTGCAAAGTTACATAGGCCCTCCCCGGATTTGAGGTCCTCTGGTTTCACCTTCAAGTAGCTGGGTATCACCGCAACTGGCTAGATGCATGTACTTTGTGTAATTAACACCACAATAAAATTTTAAGACAAAAATGAAATGAGAACTAGTGTATGGCTCAGTGGTAGACCACTTGCCTGACATGCTTGAGGCCCTCAGTTTCATCCTGAACACCACACACACTATAGTGATATGGAAGGGTGATCACCATCCATAGTGGAATAACATGTGCAGGAGGTAATGCAGTTTTCTAAGAAAAAAGTTACATTTTTGTGTTTGCATATGTATGTGTATCACAGTAATCCCTCTGGCTGTTGGGGTAATGAATTGTATTCTCTTTATGTTTTTAAATGTTATACGATAATGGAAAACAATAAAGTTATTTTTTAAAATCATGTTCTTTGTTTAAATGTATATTCTGCTTCCGTAGTTGTCACAGAGGAAAATAATGTAATTTTGATAAATCAAAAAACGTAGCTGGAGTTATGCTAAAAGATGTCACCTCTGGAATGTGTGAGGTTGAGGATGAGCTGTTCCTTTTCATTCTAAACTCTTGGATATGGGTTTCTTTGCTTGCTTTTAAAAAACATATTCTTGTTTTACTTTGCCAAAATAAATTTTACCAGATGAAATAAAAGTGTCTCAGAGCCATTCTTAAAGGTTTCTTTTTCATCCAGGTTGCCCTACCCTTTCTCCTTGCCACTCAGCAAGCAGAGCAAAGAAAGGCCCTTGGAATACCAAACAGTATCAAGCAGAGACAGATTATGAATTGCCCAATGTAAAACATGAGGGTTTGTTTTTTTAATTAAGGGGATAGAAATACAGCTTCTCAATTATCATGCACTGCGTCATACTCTTGGAGGGCGTTTTTGGCTTGAGTCCATTACTGATTGTAATGCAGTTCCCACAGTGGTTAAAATACAGTTGCCAGTTCGTGTATGTAGCGCCCTCTAGTGCATTATTTTAAAAGCACAAGCAGTTTCTCCTGCTCAGCTGTTAACTAGAAAATTTTCCCCAGTGTGGTTTATTTTGCTGCTTTTTCTTACATCCAGAATTACCCTTCTCAGGGCTGGGGATTTAGCTCAGCGGCACAGCGCCTGCCTGGAAAGCACAAAGTCGTGAGTTGGATTCCTGCTATTGGAAAAAAAACAATTACCCTTCTCTGCACCGACATTGTTTTTTCTTAGCCAGGAGAGGCACTAAGCTGAGGCTTTGAACACGTTCCTTAATGTCTCTAGGCTTCAGTTTGCTCCTCTATAAAAGTACCTGGTAGGGTTCCTCTGTGGATTAATGAGCACATATATGTAATGTAGATGCCTGGCACATAATAGAAGCTCAGGAAGTGCCAGATGAATTGTTCTGTTTTGTTTTTGTATTTTGCAGTGCTGGCGATTGATCCCAGGGCCTTGTGCTTGCTAGGTAAGTGCTCTACAACTGAGCTGCACCCTAGCTACTTTTTACATAAAAATAGTTCTACTCAGTCTACATATGATTGAAGACAAGTAATCAAGAGTCAGGTATCATAATGTAGTTGAGAAAGGTAATGAGAGTAACCAGAAATGAAGGGGCCTTACTAGGATTCTAACTGCTAGCCCCATTTTACTAAGCTAATTCTAAAAGTCTGGGAGCATGTTTTGTTTTGTTTTGTTTTCATCTTTCATAGAGCTTATAATTGTACTGTCTAAACAAATACTTGTCATTTTGAGTGTTCAAGCTAAATTGTTTTATAGTAGATCTTAGAAAACAGAAAATAGAAAGCTAAAATAATTACTAGTATAGAAATTAGAATATTTGGGTTTAACTTTATGTTCTTTAAGCCAGAGACTTGAATTAGTATACCAAGATTTGTGTTTCCAATGTACAAGTGTAATAACAGCAGACTTGATTGTGGAACCCATGTGAATCATGATTTATGAATCAGAGTCATAGATTTATTTATTTATTGTTTGTCTTTTTGAGACAGGGTCTTGTTTTGTAGTTCAGGCTGACCGTGAGCTCACTTTGTAGCCCAGGCTGGCCTCGAACTCACAACGATCCTCCTGCCTCAGCCTCCCAAGTGCTGGTTATTACAGGCGTGCACCACCGCGCCCGGCCAGCATTGTAGATTTAGAATCTTGAACTCATCCATTCTCTCCCATTTTCAGCATGCAGAGCTTGGAAATATTTATTATGACACAAGAGATTCCCAAGAGGTTCCTTCTCCAGATATTCTAGGAGACTGTTTATGTTCTTTCTTGTATTGACGGTTACAGACTTGGGCATAGTACCCTGAGTATCCCAAGAACCATGGAGTACTTCTGATCCCTAAGTCCCTGGAGTCTTCGGCTGGTCATATGTGTAAGAAATGTCTCCAGGCATATTTTTCCTATTGCCCTATGTTAGACATCTCACAATGTATTTCTCCTTCCCTTCTAGTGCCTCGGTGCTAAGCCACATTAATTTTCTCATGAACATCTACCAGTTATCCTTGTATTCAGTCTGTCAGCATTCGGACATTATGCTAAGCAGACATGATTTAGAACTTTCACAACCACATCTAGAAGAGTAGAAAGTACTGTCCCCATTTTCCAGAGAAGAAAGCTATTGTGTGATGCTGGTAATAAAGGGCAGAGTTAGACATTATTCTGAAAGTGCCTCTGGAGGCTGTGGTCTTAGCACTACATCAGAAACTTTTTAAAAGGAAGTTTTAAAGACAAGCCCACCTTCCAAGACAGCCCACCTATCGAACCTGCCACAGTGGTATTACAGCTGCCATCTGTAATGTCTGCCTGGCCCCTCACTGGTCTCAAAGGTTGGCCCCTGGGCAATCTCGTTTTCTCTTTGCGTACTTGTCATCAGCTGAGCCTCCAAGCTGGGAAAGCAAGTTCTTTTCTAGCAGAAGACTGCAGCTGCTATTATTTACCCCCCAGGGGAAAAACCACAAACCCAAGGCTTACAGCTGGGAACACTCAGATCTGGCTGTGCGACCCTATAAAGACAGGGCCCAGGGAGGGGCTCGCGCAGGCCGCCCTGGTTGCAGTCCACTGGGCAGCGAGTGCTGCGCTGGGAGCTATGCACAGGACCGGAGGCTGGGTCTTGGCCAGTGAAACCATGGTGAGTAGCCTGTCAGCCAGCCAGTCGGGGCCTCACCTCCCCGGTTAGTCTCTTGGGCCAAGCATGTGATCTCTCACTGCTTTTCCTAACTCCTGACCCCACCCTCCACCCTTACACGCTCTGGTCAGAGCTTCCCCTGGTGTACACCTTAACTCCTTGGCAGGATCCTGAGAACGCCAAGCTCCTGTGGGCCGAAGGTTTTAAACCAAAGCCACAGACCTCGGCGTGGGGGAGGAGCCATGGGGGTGGCAGGGCTACAATTTGAAAACAAATGAGCTGCTTTCATCCCAGTAGGATTTTTGTTATGGTCTGCTGTTCTGGCCGGGTGACTCATCAGAAGCTAAGGTTTCTAGAACTTTTAGGAAAACCATACAGGAACCAGAGTTGCCCATGCGCCTTCTGTAACAATTTCAGCCAAACTTGGAGGCCTGGAGAAGTCCTGTTTAAACAAGTCTGTTTGTTTGCAGAAGATTAGGTTGCACATGTTGAAAGCAGCTTAAAGTAGAGCATCAACCCTTGTTATTTCCTGTAGAATAGAGAAGTTTCACAAAATGACAGCCTTGAATTTAAAGAGATCTAAGCGTCATTTAAGAAAAGTTAACTCTTGTCAGTCATTGCTGCTAGTGGAGGAGACCCAGAGACAGAATTCTGCTGGGACTTTCATTTACTGTTCATTTACATTTGGCGTCCCGCGGCACTTTAGTAATTAACATTTCAATATGGGTGTGCCTGTGGTTCTGGAAATGTACCACTGTTCACAGCGAATAACAAAGCTCCTCTCTGAAGATGCTGACAGGCATGGGATGCTGTCAGATGACTTTTCCAGCCTCGACCAGCTCTGCTCACTGAGTTATGGATGGGCTTCTGGAAACAGAATGGGCTTTGGCTTCAACCGCAGCGACGTTTAAAGCCTGATGCTGCTCTGCAACTTTTCAGATTACAGTGCTCACTTGAAAAACAATGAAATAACAGCGAAACCCTTGGCCATGGGATCTGAGAATGGCCTCAGAAGTCATTAGGGAACTTGTAAACAAAGCCATGAAATACACCTAGCGTTGAATCTCATATTTTACTGTTGCAGTAACCTGGATGGGTTGCAAACATTGAGACAGTTGAGAGTTGCTAACTACCTGGGTTAGGAGGGCTTTAGACTAACCCCTGCTTAAAATAGAACACCGGCAGTCAGTACCTTCTGAAGAGGACACTGAGGAAGGTCACACAGAATCACTGAAATCCATAATCAGTGAGCAACCTTAACTCAGAAGGTAAGCAAATATTGTGTCCCTAAACACTATCAGAAAAGTTAAATTACAGACTGGGTGTGGTGGCACATGCCTGTAATCCCTGCATTCAGGAGGCTGAGGCAGGAGGATCGCGTTGAGTGTGAGGTCAGCCTGGGCTGCAAAATGAGTTCAAGCCCAGCCTGAACTGCATAGTGGAAACCCTGGCTCAAAAAGACAAAGAAAAAAAAGTTACATTCCTATTAATCTACTGCTCTCCTGAAGACCTGAGATCTTCCACATAATTTGGCAAGGAAGCCCAGTAAAGAATCATGAAAAGATGGGCCCTAAATAACAACCTGGTGAGAGACCCTGAGTTAAAGCCTAACTAGCAGCCCATCCCAACCCACAGAAACTGAAGTAAGAAGTGTTCGTTGCTTTAAGCTGGCTTACTTTTTTTTTTTTTTTTTTTTTTTTTTTTTTTTCAGCTTCCACTGTCCCTTCTGCATTCCAGCAGAAAGCAGGCAAGCAAAAATAGTTCCCTTTTTAAACTCTGCTTTGATTTTTTTTTTTCCAGTACCGGGAATCGAGCTCACGACCTTGCGCTTGCCAGGTGAGCGCTGTACCGCTGAGCTAAATCCCCAGCCCCGATAGTTCCCTTTTTAAGGCTTATGTGATGTACTGATACAAATACTAACAATTCTCAACAACTCAATAGGATGTAGCAGATGTAGCCACAGGAAAAATATTAAAAGACTAGAGATCATTTTACCTTCTCCATTATTTTTAGATAGCATAGAAAATAGAAATCACTAAGAATTTAAAAATAACAAGATTGTCGCACATAGTAATAATGGTGTTAGGATTATTTGGGGCTATTTATTTGTTTGTTTGTATAAGGGATTGAGCCCAAGGTGCTCTACTACTAAGCTACATCCTCAACCCTTTGCAATTTTTATTTTGAGACCAGGTCCTACTAGCTGCCCAAACTGGCATCAGACTTACAGTCCTCCTGCCTCAGCTTCCTGAGTGCCTGGGCTTTCAGGCCTGTGCCACAGTTCCTACCAATGTTAAAATGTTGATGTCTTTTCCAATAATAGACATCCACAGCAGTCTCCTGGTGGTGATTTATGTTATATAGTGGTGATGATAAAGAGCCTATCCTATCTTCGGTGGGAGAGAAAGCTCTTTTAATCAGTCATACAGTTGAAAGAAAATAGAAATCGGGGTTTTAGTTCTGCCTTTTAACTCTCTCCTGTGTGACTCACACTGTGGCCAGTATCAGAACAAGACCCACATGCGCCGTGTGCCCATGCAGTGGACTCAGAAACACCAGCTGGGATTCTTTTGGGGGGGTGGGGGGGGTCTTCTTGAGACAGGGTCTCGCTATGCAGTCCAGGCTGGTCTCGAACTTGCAATGATCCTCCTGCCTCAGCCTCCCAAGTGCAGGGATTATAGGTGTGAGCCACCACGCCCAGCCATCAGCTGGGATTCATAGAGGAAGGGTTACTCAAGGTCCAAGCATTCCTGGTGTTTCATACCTCCATATTGTCTTCCCCAGGGCCAAAGTGGGACAGAAGGTGGAGACAGTGATAAGGGGGAAGAGGGTCTGGTCTGGTCAAGCTGCTGCCCGTCACCCGGGACCCTGACGGCTAAACTCTCCTGCTAGGCCAATCAACATTTCCTGGTTGTATCTAGGCTCTTCTATTTGTTCCACCGATGACAGGGAAGTAGGAAAACGGAGATATGCAGAAGCTGGTAAAAACTAGTGTCACAAGGCAAAGTTCCATTTCTGGATCCAAGAAAAACTTCCTGTTATGATAAGACCCTTTTTAGGAGAGGAAACCTGCTCTCAAATGAAGCCACAATGAATAATTTCACTGTGTTGAGCAAGCCTGAAATCCCAGGAGGAGGTTGATGAATAAGAAGAGAAACCATCAGAGATCAACCCCAGCTGGGCAGGGCTCTTCCTCAGTCCCTCCACCACTCGCTAAAGGACTAGTGACAGCTGGTGAGTGGAAAGTATTTGGGCGACCTGGCAAGAGAACTGGGCAGAGCTTGGG